AGGATCTGGCCAGGAGTTGTGGTTCACGCCTGTAATCCCAGAACTTTGGGAGGCCGAGGCAGGAGGATTACTTGAGGTCAGGAGTTCAAGACCAGCCTGGTCAACATGGCGAAACCCTATCTCTACTGAAAATACAAAAATTAGCTGGGTGTGGTGGTGGATACCTGTAATCCCAGCTACTTGGGAAGCTGAGGCAGGAGAATCACTTGAACCTGGGAGAGGGAGGTTTCAGTGAGCCTAGATGGCTCCACTGCACTGCAGCCTGGGTGACAGAGAGAGACTCTGTCTCAGAAAAATAAAAAGAACAGGATCTAATTCTGACTCTGATTCCTCTGTTTTCCAGTTTCTAGCATATTTGACATCCAGAACATTTCATTTCTTAACACTTCTTCCTATCTTATATGATACACTTACTTTTAGTAATAATCATAAAATGAAATGAATGCATTTCATGTATGGACTAAAATTTGCATTTACCAAACAAATGATTGAACTTCACAGTCTACACGTTTCTTTTTTTACTACACACACACACACACACACACACACACACACACACTTTACCATCTTAGTCAATTGCACAGTTCAATAGTGTTAAGATTCACATAGATGTACAACAGGTCTCCAGAACTTTTTCATCTTGCAAAACTCAGTCTCTATATCCATTGAACAATTTCTCATTTCCTGCTTTCTCCAGCCTGGGTAACCACCATTCTACTTTTTGTTTCTAAGAATTTGACCACTGTAGATAACCTCATTTAAGTGGAATGTATAGCATTTATCTTTTTGTGATTGGCTTATTTCATGTATGTGAAATGTAAAAAAAAAAAAATTGAAGCCAACAAATATTTTATTAAAACTAATGTGTTTCATGCCACTGAACTATATATTTAAAAATAGCTAAAATAGTAACTTTTACATATATTTTATCACATTAAAAAAAATGGAAGACTGGGTGTAGTGGCTCATGCCTGTAACCTTGGGAGGCTGAAGTGGGCAGATCACAAGGTTAAGAGATCGAGACCATCCCGGCCAACATAGTGAAACCCTGTCTCTACGAAAAATACGAAAATTAGCTTGGTGTGGTGGCGCGCACCTGTAGTCCCAGCAACTCAGGAGGCTGAGGCAGAAGAATTGCTTGAACCCGGGAGGTGGAGGTTGCAGTGAGCTGAGATCACGCCACTGCACTCCAGCCTGGTGACCTGGTGACCTGGTGAGACTCCGTCTCCTAAAAAAAAGGAAAGAAACTCACAACACTAACTATAGCAGCTAGACCAATTAGAACAAAAAATTATTTCTCATGGGAGGGTGCTTTATCATTGACATAGTTTAGGATTGTTGGCACAAATTTAATCAATTTAATTATAATTGTGTTTATATTCTCGGCCAGCAGTTCACCTCCTCCTTGCCCAGCCTCCAGGACTGACTGCTCCCCTCCCTGGGCACAACAGTACTGAAAAATATGCCAAGAGCAGGATTTGACAGCTTTACCACAAGGCCATCCAGCAATGTGGGCTCCCATGCTCACATATTTAAATTAAAGTGGGGTTTTTCAATAACTGTATTAGTCTGTTCAGGTTGCTGTAACAAAATACCATGAAGTAGGTAGTTTCTAAACAATTAGCATTTATTTCTCACAGTTCTGGAGGCTGAGAAGTTCAAGATCAAGGAGCCAGCAGATTTGGTGTCTGGTGAGAGTCTGTTCCCTGTTGCACTCTCATATGGTGGAAGGGGTTAGCTAGCTCTCTGAGTCTCTTCATACGTGCATTATGCCCTCACTGCCCCAAAACACCCGTTTGGGTTAGCATTGCAGCATATGAATCTGCACTATCACCTTGGGTTAGAATTGCAGCATATGAATTTGGGGGGTAGAACATTCAGACTATAATAACCACAAGGAATTTGTCTCGAAATTCCTATATTTCTGATGCGCCCTGCCATGGAACCGCAGAAGCCATGGCCACTTTAATTGCATTAGGGAGCTCCCTTAAGGATAAACTTATTTCACCATCAGATTCACCAGAAAAGTGATATGAGGTGAGGTTAGACAGTTCTCCGTCAGGCAAACAAAAATATTGATTTTTTTTTCCCCCTGAAAACACTCTTTTCCTTTAACTCATTGAACTATTAGGAGAGAACAAAAACAGAACTGACCACTTTGCCAATCCCCAAGTCTTCACTGAACGACTCTTCAGAAGGACTTTGTTGTCATGGACCCGGACAGTGTTTTTGTTTGTCTCTCTGTCTTTCAGAGTGGTGAGTTCAGACACTGGAGAGTGAAGAACTGTCCCCAGAATATCCCCTCTGAACAGAAACAACAGACCAGGTTGCTGCAAGGCCACAGCCTCTTATTAACAGGTTTAGCTAAGACGGAAACCATTTGTTCCTGGAAACTGAGGTGATGGAAAGACCCATCTCATCCTAAACTAGGGATGGAGTATCTTGACCTCACTTTGCTAATCTGCCCCATCTTCAAACCATGGTCTTGCTGTGTGGTCTTAGGCCAATCACTTGGCCTCCACAAAGCTCCATCAACTCATCTGTAAAATGAAGATAAAAATAACCACCCTCAATGCTACTGTATTTGAAAAGACAGGCAATGTATTTTGCACTCAAGAAATATTTATTCTGAGTCCCCATCCCCCCTTTTCTTCATACTTGCTGCATACTCCAAAACCAGTATTTCCAAACACTTCTCTCTGCTCCACAAAAGCTGTATCTGTAAAATCTTTCAGTGTCCTTCTTCCACCTGTAATGCCCTCCTTGAGAATAGGGACTCCCCACATAGTCTCTTGGTTGTGACAGGTGAGTTCTATGGAAAGGTTCCAGAATACATGGAGCACATCAAAAAGGAGACTTTAAGAACATAAAAATAACACTGAGTATATATAGCACATGCACTCTTTATAATGGAGAACTTATAAACTGAGTGCCATCTCAAGAGACAGCACAGGGTCCTTGTATATTTCACACCAAGAAGGAGAGGAAGTCTTGGAAAGTACATCAAGGCAGACTTGTGCTAGAATAAGTTCTGGGAGATGTCAAGGACTTCCGGAATCTCTGTGCTCGTTCATCTCCTACAAATGGACCTCCAGTGGCCTCATCTACTGAGCCCCAGATTGGCCTCCAGAGATGAAGAATCTTGAAGGGACTCTGCCAGTTCTACCAACCAGTCACTTCAAGACTGTGCTGGGTTTAAAATAGGGATCTAGTTGTCATGATACACATAGTAGGTACTCAAGTATTTGCAGAATACATGAATGACACAATATGTAATGGGTTTAAATTTAACAAACTCTTTCATGTTCAAAGATAATCAGCCAAACACAATTGTGATGCTGATATTACAAGTATCACTGTTTTGATAATTCACTGAAGATATTTGAATACTACAGGAGGTCTAATGGGAAGAAGGGGTAATTGTGAATGTAAAAGACTCTTAAAAGGGAACGGTGATTCTTAAAACATACTTTGCATAAATAATGGTTTTCTTTCTTGGTTGCAAACAATAGAAACGGACTCTGATTATTTCAAGCAGAACAGGAATTGATTGGAAGGGTGCAATAGCAGTATGCAGCAAAGTCTGCTTAGGAGGTTGCCAATGGCACTCTTGCCCCAGTCACTATCACACCACCAGACCTGAACACATACAGGACCTCTGATCCTGCAACTTTGTCTCATGCTGTTAAGACTCAAAATCCTGAGTACAAGCATCCGTCTGACCACCTCACAGATTTTGGTCCCTGTTTCTGGCTGCAGAGGCAGGTGACTTCTCACTTGCTATTCTACTTCCATAAAGAGGGATATTTGTTGCACTCCATTCTGCTTGGCATGAAGCAAAATAGGAAAGGTATTCTGACACTAAGAAGCCAAAACCGGCCGGGCATGGTGGCTCAAGCCTGTAATCCCAGCACTTTGGGAGGCCAAGGCGGGTGGATCACAAGGTCAAGAGATCGAGACCATCCTGGTCAACATGGTGAAACCCCGTCTCTACTAAAAATACAAAAAATTAGCTGGGCATGGTGGCGCGTGCCTGTAATCCCAGCTACTCAGGAGGCTGAGGCAGGAGAATTGCCTGAACCCAGGAGGCGGAGGTTGTGGTGAGCTGAGATCGCGCCATTGCACTCCAGCCTGGGTAACAAGAGCGAAACTCCATCTCAAAAAAAAAAAAAAAAAAAAAAAAAAAGCCAAAACAACAAATGTCCCTTCTGCATCCCTGCTAAAAGTAAACAGCTCTAAAAAGCTTTACTCTCTCCCAACTCTTGCAACTAACCTGGGTGACATTTTCCTGGCCCTATTTGCCCCACTCAGCAATGCCACCCTAACCTATGCATCATTAGCGTGGAGCATCAAAAAAGTCAATGTGCTCTTTTTCAAAGTGGAGGAGACATTGTGAGAATCAGAGTGACATAACCATAATAGCTTCAATGTTTGACAACTCTGCTTTTCTCCTTAAATGAACTGGACAGACTCCATTAATATTTGGAAAAGTCAATTTTTAAAATGATAGTATTATAGCTTTAGCTTTGAGAAAATTCAACTTGAGACATACAATTTAGGGTTTTTTTTTTTAGTGAGGGGAAGGGAAGCTTAAAAGCCCTCCCATTGTTTGATTATCCTTCTCCTATACTCCACACTCAATTTTCTTTCCTCTGGCACTTTCTGCTGTAGCCAGATGTATTGTTTCACCAACTTATCCTCCCAGGCTTGTTCAGTTGCAATGAACTCTTTCACCAGCTCTCAATTAGTTTTTGCTATTTTTGACCGTTAATTTTTTTTTCAAGTCCTCGACTAATTTTAAATTATGCAAATAATGAAATTAAGCAAATAATTGTGACATGTGAGTGCTGACCCGCATACCAGACACCAACCTAAGAGCTCTACATGCATCACACCTCACTTCATCCTCAACATCTTGTCATTTTATAGATGGAGAAAGTGAAGCCAAAAGCTTAAGCTTCATCAAAGTAGGAGCTTGAATTAAACTGCAATATACAAGATTTGCTGGCAATAAATAAGATATCTTTATTATCATTATGTTAATAGTTAAAATTTGCATGTTTTCTAGATAGTCTGTAACAAGATTAAAAAAATACAAAAAGGCGAGCTTCTTGATTCAGCTGAATTAACTACAAAATTAAAATACCTGCTATTTAATACCTTCTAAAATAACACAAAATATATTCAATATGCAATACAATCCTCAGTAATCCAATTCTCCTAATAAGCAATTATTTATAAGCTCTGAACTAAGAGGAAATGGTTTGACTAAACGGAGAAATAACAATGTTTTTATCCTAAGTAATCTATACTTTGGAGTAGAAATACTCATTTAATACAATGTTGGTTATTAATATTCCACAAGGAGTAATCTTTATTTTAAAAAACAATGTTATAATTATACCAATTTTTAGTTATTATTTGTTAGTGTGAATTTGCCCAACCTAAATTCCGGAGTGCCTGGAAAATACAACTTTTTTAAAGCTACTATTAATAATTTGTAACACAGTTTACTAATTCGAATTGACATCCCAACCTACTTATCTTTACGATACAGAATTTAATATCTTTTTGTTGTTGTTAAGTGGAATTCTCATTAACAATGTAAAGCATTTTCCTTTCTAAATTGTATTTTATTCAATTATCTGTAACAATGCTATATACTAGTAAGCAAAGCAAGCAACATTACTTTTTTTAAATAACATCTTTAATTAAAGTTTTTGCAAAGGTAGAATATTAAACTTAAAATAGGTCTTAGTACATCAAAATACTAAGTTCTCTAATTGTATTCCAAGATGGTCTTTAAAACATAATATCCCATATATCACAGAAGAGCAACCTTGATCTGCAATGAATTTTACAAACATAATAAATATATTTACGCCATTACACATAACAGTATGTACAACAGCAGTTGACAATAGTAGCTCAGAACAGCAAAAAGGATTAGCCCTGCCCCCCCCCAACCCGCAAATCATAGCCCTGATGCAGACTGGACTGATTAAGGAACCTTGACTGAAAGAGTAGTTACTAATTCAATATGGTTCTTCCCTTAAAAGAGAAAACGTTTTCTTGTTCCTTAAAATAAACAAAAATGTTAGTTTGGTGTGTTCTTCATTAAACCACAGACGATGACAAAAGACAGAGTAAGGCAGGCTTAAAAAGGGAAGAATATAAACTTCATAATAATTTCATAGCATAATAAAGGACTAAAATGCAAAACTGTTTAACATAAACTCATGAGGAAACAAATAAAGCAACTATTTTTTTAACCAAAGAATTCAAAATCAAAATGTACAAAGATGGATCAATAAACTATTGCATTGCACAAAAGCTCAAAAGAAAAGTTCAAGATGAAATAATCTGAAAATACAGCTATTTTCTCAAGTGGAAGAAATGCTAAGTTATAAAGAGAACGCCCAAGAGGAAACTATGTCTGTTTTCCTATACAAGGCATATTTACCCTCTGATAATAATGGTGACATTATTGCTATGAGAATCAAACATTACTCTTAGAGGGAGACAACTCTTTTCATTCCTCCATAGAAGCCAGGAAAAAAAAAATCTTTGATTTTCATTATAGCAAAAGAAAATATTCATATAAAAGCTATATGTTATCTTATTTTCTAAAACCAGAATCTATTATGCTCATCAAGAACACAATTCAATTAGTACACACTGCTAAAGTCTTGATGTAATCTTAGAATAACATCAGAGTGGGTTTGCTTTTAAAAGAGGCAACAGTGTAAATGTGACATTATGATGGCATTTTAATTAACAGAAAGAAATGTGAACATTTAAAAAATACAAAAGCCTAATAAAAAGATCCCCCTCATATAACAGACATTTTACTCTAGAAATTAATTGCACATCAAAGAGTTGTTTTAGCCATATGTGGCACTCCACAGAAATTAAATATGCTCTCAGGCATTCAAATGGTCTGATTACCTAAATGACCACCAAGCAAGGGTTTGTATACGGAAAGGCACACCACATTTCCTTGTTTTCTCTTGTAATTTTGTGTAAATTTTCCTTAGCACTGTTGATTAATGTTTTTTGAGTAAAAGGTGCCATCACCATCTGTGCAAATCTAAACAAATCGTCTCCAGAAGCCAGTACTTATTTTCATACCAAGTCCAAACTAATTTCTGCCTTTAGATACACATGCTACTTTCATTGTAAAATTCTGAAAGTGGGAATCCCTTGCCTTTTTAAAGGAATGACATTTTAATGGAACTTAATATGAAATGATTCGTCAAATATAATGTTAAAAGCATGATTAAGAATTCAAGTACAGTAAAAGATAAGCAAGTGACATTCTTACAGCAAAAGCTACTATAATAAAACTAAAACATGCTATTTGATTAAAAAGGAACACGATGCAAATAATATATAAGAGCACAATTTGGTACACAATGTAGCTTGGACCAGCTTTCAGAATTTTCACAGGTAAAAGAAAAGCATCTGCCAAGTATACCATAATTAATATGCAATATACAGGTGCAAATACAAATGGTTATTTCCTGCTTCAAAAATAACAAAATAACCACTATGAAAGCAGTGGTTGTTCATGTTTGAAAAATAAAGTTATAAAAACAGGCTAGTATACAATGCTACTATGAGTATGAATGTTTGTCTACATAGAGGCCCCAAGACGAGCTGAGTATCATACAGTAATCCAACTTTCAGTAGCATAAAAACTACTAGATAGCCAAAGGGTTTCATTTAAGCAACACTGCAGCACTGCTGAATTTTTATAGGTAGTTCAGTCACCAACTTCTTGATTGAGTAAATACAAACCTACTAGCAACTGTATTGAAGAACAGTTGAACAACAGGATTTCTGTGATGTTACTCCCTCCCATTTCCTCTTCTCTCAGTCTTATATAACAATATATATTTTAAAACCTCTGTGTGCTTTGAGAGTCACAGAATAAACAAACTTCCCCTCAAAAAACTAAATTAATATAGTCAAAATAAAAACTATACTACCATTTATGATATCTAAATAAAATCTAACTACTAGCATGCTAGACACCACCATTTACATCAAAGTTTAGAACATAAGTTAAAGAGACCAAGGTGGTAAGCTGGGTGGGAAGTAGAAAAACAATTTTTGCCTTTTTTAAAGTTTAAAGACGTGTGTTAAAAAAGAAACACTATATAACAGCTCACAGTTTCTTCTTTGTTAATGTACTTTAAAAAGTGTCGATGGGTTACTTCTGAAAACACAAAGGCAAAAGGAAGACAAAAACTGAAGACTAAAAAAATATATCAATATACAAGTAATCTAAACACATGTAAATTTTGTCAAGATAAACCATGGAAAGTTGAATTCGTTATAAGAACACAATGGTGAAGACAAGCATTCCTGCAGTTCTCCCAGGCAGCGAATTCACACTGAACACAGTAGTGCCATATTGTTCTTCAGAGCCTCTTACAGAATACAGACCTACGCATTCTTAACATACATATTACATTTCTATTATTTTTAATATACAAGTCAAATTTCTATGCTTTCTTCCCAATGTGCAAACTGGAGCCAACGTCTTTATTTTCTCAATGGCCTGGAAGGGCCACCAGATAAAAGAGAGGTAACTTAAAGGCCCACCCACCTCTTCCCCCAAAATTTTCCCCTCAAATTACAAAGTTGATTTTAAAAACTTGTTGAATTAGAATAGATTTTTAAAATTCTTTACTAGTAAACACAAGAAACTTTTATAATTACTAAATTGTTTAATAAAAATCCAGGTCCTCACCACCTGCCCTATACTTTCATCAATGCACAGACTGTTATCTGAATATTTAAAGACTAAACACATTTATAAGCACACACTTCAGCCCAACAGGAAAAGTCTACGTATATTCACGTGTATACAATTTCAGCTAGAATATACACTTGCAAAATAAAACTATATTCCTGAGGGGCTAGTCTGGGGTTTCTTTTTAAGGTGTGGCACTAAAACAAACAAATTTTTTTGTAAGGAAATTAAAGTTGTCATTTCAATTCCACTCAACTCAAACAAGATCCAAGTCTTTAATTACATTTAATAAATAGGAAAATCTAATTAAAATAAATATCCATTCCAGGGTCAAATTTTATCTCCAAACTATGATCGCTGATAATTTCCTTTAAATCTTAAATAGATGTTTCATAAAGCTGGAAAGGAAGAGGTATATATCACTGAGGGAGAATAGCAAGTAAAAATATTTAAGACCTATTATGAGAGTTTTAAATTGTTTTCTTATACAAGTGAATTAAAATTCAACATCATAATTCTTACCCTTTTGTAAAAAGCTCGCACACAACTTTTACCAAACATAACCACATACAATAAGCAATTTCAGTTCAATCTATCAAAAGGGAAGTTTCTTCAGTTCATTCCAACAAGTATCTTCTGACTGAACCCAAGTTGGAGGAAGGAATATAGACAAAGCTTTACATGCTAATTACTGGTGGCAGGTACCTGTATTTAAAATCAAAAATTATGGTTTTGCTACACAAAACCCCAACCCTCCCACCCAACAACCCCAGGTGCTACAGTTCCATGGCTTGCCAGTACGTAGTGTCTATGTTGTCAAGGTCTATCTTTGTTCCAGTAGCTTTGCTTCTACTGCAATTTTCTGACATGCAGAAATGAAGTTTTGGTTGGCATATGCCCAAGTTTCAAACTGTCCACTTTAAATTTTTTTAAAGTTTCTTTTATTTATAAAAGAAAAAAAGCAACTCTTCACCATTCTGCATCCCCAATGGCTTTGGAAAATATATAATCTCTTCCATTAAGATTCATAATGCCATCCTTGAGATGAAATTTCCATTTGTTTTTACTTCTGTGTATCTAAACAAAAACAAAATTAAAAGAATTAAGAGATACAATCAGAAAACAAGTAACAAAAAATCCATATACACCCACCACACACACCCACAAAACAGTATTTACAGTATTTTATTTGCAAATTGGTTTATTTTGTTTTTGTAAAGATAGGGTCTCCCTATGTTGTATAGGCTGAGCTCAAGCTCCTGGCCTCATGTGATCCTTCTGCCTCAGCCTCCCAAAGTGCTGGGATTACAGGTGTGAGCCATGGCACATGGCCTCAAAATTGGTTTCTTAATAAAGTTTGATTTCACCAAAAAACACCCCACAAAAAATTCACTCATTAGGTGGGTTTAAAATAAATAAATAAATTTATCTGTAATTAGTACTATTTCATAGCTGTCAGTACTTGTGTTCATTAAAGTAGTGAAAAAAAATATTTCTTTACAAAATGTCTTATCCTTCTATCAGGTCTGCATATGTATTTTCAAAGTCTACCTCAAAAAGACTGTATCCTCCACAAAGCCTTCCCAAATCTTACCAGCTAAAACTATTATTTTCCAATGGTACTCTCACTGACATTTTTTACATTATTTGTAGGCATTACAATTATGGACTCATTTCTTCTACCAAAATAAAACTCTTTATAGTGTTCTCAAGCCCTAACATGGAACCTTATACATAGCAGTATTTTAAAAATACATCTAAAGGATGCTGATCATCCAGTCACTTACAGGAGATTTAAAAAACTACGTACATCCACAGTTAAACAAAAAGAGCTGAAGGGCAGGCTCTGGGAACTCCCATCTTTGCATTCACTTATAGTCCTTAGTTGTTTGTAATTCCATGGATTTGGTGAGGGAGAGGAATTGTAAAACTTAAGGAACTGAAGTGACCTTTCTTCCTTTTCCCAGTAATTCGCACTAATTATTTAATGTTCAGTTCAAGTTCCACATCTTCTGCAAAGAATGCCCCATGGTTCTCCCTATTCTATGATTTAAAGGTACCTAAAAAAAAAAAAATCAACTAGTTCAGCCTTTCATTTTCAGAAGAAGAAATGACAGCTTGGATAGGGTTCAATGGTTTGAACAAGGGTATATTGGTACTAAGTGATAATCATGATTTTTAAGTGTTGGTCCAATATTCCTTTTACTAAATCAGTCTGTTTCATATAATAATGCAGAAATGCTCAACAGGTGTAGATTTTATTTTTTTAAGAGAGTCTCACTCCATTGCCCAGGCTGGAGTGCAATGGCATGATCTCAGCTCATTGCAACCCACAGGTTCAAGCAATTCTCCTGCCTCAGCCTCCTGAGTAGATGGGATTACAGGTACCCACCATCATACCTGGCTAATTTTTGTATTTTTATGGAGATGGGTTTCACCAGGTTGGCCAGGCTGGTCGTGAAGTCCTGACCTCAGGTGATCTGCCCAACTCAACCTCCCAAAGTGCTGGGATTACAGGCGTGAGCCACCAGGCCAGTCCAGGTACAGATATTTTCTGAGATCTCATTACCAAAATTCCATGGCCTAACCTCCCAGTGCAAACATTCTTCATGACATATTCCTAGCAAATGGTTGTGCGGTGTCTGCTTGCATACAATTAGAAATAGTGAGCAAATAATTTCAAATTGTTATTCCTTTGGGGAACAGCTCTATTGTAAAAATCTTTCAGTTACCCTTACTGAAATCTGCTTCTCCAAATTCCATTCATTGATCCTAGCTCTGCCTTTTCAGACTTCAAACACACACACACACACACACACACACACACACACACAAATCACTCAACCTTCATTTTATTTGAAAACCACTCTCATGCTCTTCTAAATTCAAACTTTTCATACTTATTAATGCAAAACAAAACACAAGTTAAAACAACAGGTAGGGCAAGGAATGTTGGATTAAGAGCTAATTATATCTCTGGTCTAAATACAGTAAGTAAATGCTAAATGTAGCATCTTAAGATTAATGACTCGAATGTCTATCAAGCATACCAGACTTGGCATGTTCTACACCAAACTGATGTCTTCTCCCAAACCAGCTCCACATGCAGCTTTTTTTCCCCATCTGAATTGATCATATCACCATTCTTTCAGAATCCTCATCAAAAAATCTTGTGAGTCATTCTTGATTCCTTTTTCTTTTCTACTACACATACATCTCAGAATCAGGAAATCCTGTTGAGACTCTTCCTTCAAAACAAATCCAAGATCCAACTACTTCTCACCAACTTTAATACCATCACCAAAGGCTGAGTCACCATTATCTCCCATGTGAATTATTATAATATCCCCCTAAATAGTATGCTTGTTTCAGCAACCTTTGCTTCATCCTTACATTCTGCTCTCTACAACGAAAGAAAAGTAATCCTTTCAAAATTTAAATCAGATCATACCATTTGTCTCACTGAAACCTTCCAATAACTTTCTGACTCACTTAGAGTAAGAGCCATGTCCTTATATAATCCACACCATCGGCCTTCCCTTACCTCTCTATCTACTACTGTACTCTCCCCTTCCCTCATTCCAGTCCAGCCACACAGGCCTCCTCACACTATTCCTCACATAAACAGACTCTGCCACCAGATGACAGGGCTAACTCTCTCCAAGAGAGTTAGCAGGGAGAAGTATGTATATAGGGAGACGTATATAAACAGGGAGAAGTATATATAGAGGGAGAAGTATATAAAACTGAAACCAAACCTGTCCTCTTTCCCTGCTCTTTATTCTTCCATACCGATTATCAGCTTCTAACATAATATACTTATCTTTTATTATGTTTTAAATAAATAAATAAATCACAATTTATTATGTTTTAGCATCTATCTCCCCTGACTGAAGTAGTTTCCTAATGGCTGGGACTGTTCTGTTTTGATCACTAGTATATCTCAAGCTCCAAGAATTAGTGCCAAGGGACATCATAGACACTCAGTAAGTATTTGTTGCATGAAAAGACCACTGTCTCCCCTTTCCTTTGATTTCCTATAAAGTATTATTTATCCTACAAATGTGTACACAAATGTATTTCCAGCATGAACCAAGTGACTGCAATCAGAAAGACACTGGGCTTAGCTAGACAAAAACAAGTGATAAGTAGCCAGGAAACAGGGATTCCACAGACACAAGTAAAGAACCTGACTGCATTCTGTCATAGGACAGCACAATTTACAAAAAATAAATGTAGGAAAGTTTCATGGGCCAATTAATCCACACAATCAACACTGAAGTCATACCGAGTAATAAATGGTAAATATTTTTATATTAATAGAAGTACACAGTCACAACTTAAAAAGCAATTCATTTACTGGCCCTAACCCCTTAATGAAGGAATGTTCTCAAAGCCAGGAGAAAGTCCTCTTAAATTTCCTAATTAGAAATGAAAGATTACCTATATCTGATGCTATTTTCACCAAATGCTGTATCAGCCCTTATCTACCCACTCGTAAGCAAGAACTCTGCCATATTAGCATTTAACTAAGATTTTGATTTGACTGGCAATACAAACTTTATTAGTCCTTCTATAATCTCTTCTAAAATTGACTCATTGTTGACATTCTACAGTTTAGGCTTTAAAACTACATTCCTAAAATTCGAGGTGGCTCAAACAATATCCAACTTCATTTTATGCAGTCATAGAACACTGCTGTTCTTTTCTATTGGCTAATGACATCAAGCCATCACCCTCCTACAATCTTTAAAGCAACTCACTTGATTCTTAAAATTAGACCTCTGCAAATTTTATAATTATTTACCATTCAGCACACTATTTAGAGCTATTTTCCACTTACTAATTTAAAACACTGAAGTAATGTCTCTGGGAGCAAAACAAACCAATTTTAACATTTAAAATATTATGAGTACAGTTTATGCCAAAGGAGAATACAACCATTCTCTTAAAGCAGAAAGACACTTAGAAGTATATTCTTCAGTCAGGCTAAAACAAAGGTCCTCTCTTGCCTGATAAATCTGACATCTCAATATAAACTTCTGTTCTGGATAATCTGGTTGCAAGGAGATCCCTTGAGACTTCCTAACAATAAGGATTTATTGGTATCTTTTGTTTTAACCTCATACTCTTGCTCTATGTGTATCTAACAGGAAGCCACATTTGTTATAATGCACATGGTATATGGTATTAAGAACAGTCTCTCAGAAGTCATAATGCACAAAAACAAATGCTGTGAAAGTCTCAATGACCTTACTGACTTTATTCTATAACTTCACTGGTATAAAACTGTCCTAACTCCACTTTTTTATTAGCAAATAAGATCCACAGTATTGGCATTCTCCCTATAGATCTGTTTGCAGTAAGCACAGCTACTTATCACATTCATTTCTAAAAAAGCCACAGAGTTAAGATTTTCTTCATCTATAAAGGAAACTTTATGCAGGGCACAAATTTTATATGTTTATAACTACATCTCCAGTGCCTAGAAAATAGTGTCTGGTGCATTTCCGCACTCTATAAATGTTTGTTGAATAAATAAGCTTCTGTTAGAATTTTCAGCATTTGGTAAAGACCACTACTAAAATTATAAATGCAATGTAATATGTGCATGTATTATAAGCTTAATGATTGTGGTAAAACCAAACTGTATTCCAATTTAAATGTCTGAAAAACCAAAATCTCAAAAAATAATACAAATAAATATAACAAAAATAATTGGAAAGAAGCACCCTGTTTAGGAATTAAGAATAAAAAAAATCAATAGCTAGTTTTCACAGTATCTGGTTTATTTTTTATTTTTCTTTTCTTTTTTTTCTTTTTATTTGTTTCAGTATCTGGTTTAAAAATTCCTTAATGTTAGCAAAATACAGCAAAGTTAAATAATATTTTAAGTAATTTTCAGTAAAAACTTATCTGTTTGTTTTTAGTACTGTTCATTGCCTTAGTTTTCTCCTTAGTAATAAAAATAGTTAGAGATTCAACTGAATCCTTCTAGTTTTGAGACAGCTGAGGCTAAACAGAAAACAGAATTATCTCATTGAGTTAGCCATTAACATAAAGGACAACCTCAAAGTGGCTGTTTACTCTGCTTACAAGTTGAAAGTCTAAATGGAAAAAAAGATCATAGCTCTTTTCATTTCATTCATAACTTATTTTTCAAATGTAGAGCTAACAAATTAATCTTTCATTCTACTAAAATAATCCACATAACTATAACAGTGTTTTTATACTGTTCATGATGAATTTAAGAGGCATGAATCAGCTGCCCAAATGTCTCAATAAGGCAGAGAGAATTATGTAGGAAAGAAATTACAACACAAATAACGTGAGCAATCTGAAGATAACATCCTTACCTTATCATATTGGCATACGACGACATTTTCTGTGTCAAAAAGTTCCTGTCCTTCCTCATCACTCACATCATCTTCACTATTAAGGGGCTCCTACAAATAAAAGGAGAGTTTGTGTATTACTATTAGAAAGCCTAATATTCACTGAAAAGAAATATAATAACCTTGATGTTCTTTGAGAACCAAATGCCAAATGCATCTATGTATGCCATGAATATAATAGTCAAATCAGCTGTTAACAGTTTGCCAGTATTACTTAAATGTAAGAAATTAAATATAATCAAAATAGTTAAGCTATATAGCTTGTAAATCTGAAAAGATGGTTTTTTTTAATTCTTTAAAAACAATACAAGATAATTCTCCATAATAACTGTTTAAGATGCCTAGAAGAGGACCTAATATGAAGGTTTAAAAGAGCTAATAGCACTATGTACTACGAACAATAGAAAACGAAAAACAGTGGAAAAGTTAGAGGAGAAAAGAAGGGCAATCCAATAGGCTACCAGTTTGCCCTACTGTCTACATTAAAGAATTTGAACTCTGAATACAAATCAGCATGTTTAACATTATGATGGTTATGGTGGAGGCATGAAGCAGAATTAAGATTCAGACTTTTTATTTTTTTCTTAAAGGCAGGGAGTAGGAAATTAAAGAGAATTAAGGGCCAAGATAAAACATAACTAGAGCATAAAATAACCAAACATGTTAAACTTTGCCCCAACTGTGAAATAAAAGATGTAACTGAGATTTCTAATAAAGAGCGAAAGAGAAGACAAAAGTAGAGAGAACAATAATCAAGATGGTATGAAAAGGCATAGTGGCTCATGCTTGTAATTCTAGCACTTTGGGAGGCCTGGACGGGACAATCACTTCAGGCCAGGAGTTTGAGACCAGCCGGGAAAATATAGTGAGATGCCATCTCTACAAAAAATTTAAAAATTAGCAAGATATGGTGGCATATGCATATAATCCCACCTACTTAGGAGGATGAGGTAGGAGGATTACTTGACCCCAGGTGGTCAAAGCTATAATGAGCCTTGATCACACCACTGCACTCCAGCCTGGACAATAACCTGAGACTCTTATCTCAAAAAAAAAAAAAAGATTATATCTAGGCCTATGCCTACTTACACACAGGTGTGTATGTATACATATTCTTTAAGTTAAAATAGGTATCATCAATGTAAAGTGAAAAAAATTTTGAGGTAAACTTCATGTAACATAAAATTCAACATTTTAACATTTGTAAATGTACAATTCAGGTGCAATGAACACTTATAATGTGTATAAATCTTCACCACTACCTAATTCCAGAACATTTCATCACTCTTTCCCATTAAGGTGTCACTCCCCATTCTCCCTGTCCCCTGGCAATCAATAGTCTGCTGTCTGTATGGATTTGCCTATACTGGATATTTCATATAAATGGAATCATATATGTAGCCTTGTGCGGCTGATGTCTTTCACTCAGCTGTTTTCAAGGTTCATCCATGTTGTAGCACATATGAATACTTCCTTTTTATGGCTAAATAATATTCCACTGTTATCAGTGCATTTATCAGCTGATGAACATGTGGGTTGTTAATACCATTTTGGATATCATAAATAGGGCTGCTATGAACAATCACATATAGGTTTTTGTTAAAAAAACATGTTTTCAGTTCTCTTGTGTATATACTTAATTAAGAGTAGAACTGCTGGGTCATATGGATAATTCTATACTTAATTTTTGAGGACCATCAAACTGTTTTCCACAGCAGCTGTACCATTTTACATTTCTATCAACAATGCACAAGGGTTCCAATTTCTCCAAATCCTCACCAGCATTTATTTTTTGAGTACAGGTCTCCTAGTAGATGTGAAGTGGTTATCTCACTGTGGTTTTCATTTGATGCTAAGCATCTTTTCAGATGCCTGTTGGCTATTTGTGTATCTCCTTTGGAGAAATGTCTACTCAAGTCCTTTGCCAGCTTTTAAATTGGGCTTTTTGTTGTTACGCTGTTTAAGAGTTCTTTATATATTCTGGATAATAGATCCTTATAAAATACATGATTTGCAAACATTTGCTTCCAGCTACTCAGGACGCTGGGAGAAGGATCGCTGCAGCCCGGGAGGTCAAGATGCTGAGGCTGCAGTAAGCCATGATCATGCCACTGCACTCCAGCCTGGGCAACAGAGATTCTGCCTCAAAAAACAAAAACAAAAAATATCTTTTTAATCTACAAAGTCCACTTTTTCTTTGATTGCTTGTACTCTGGAATGTCATGTCCAAGAAACTGTTGCCAAAACTATGAAGCTTTACCCCTATGTTTTCTTCTAAGAGTTTTACAGTTTTGCTCCTAGATGTGTAGGTCTCTAATCCACTTTCAGTTGATTTTTGTATATGGTATGTCGTAGGGGTCCAACTTAACTCTTTTGCATGTGGATATTCAATTATCCAAGCATCATTTGTTGAAGACTATTCTGTCCCTACTGAACAATCTTGGCTTACATAAAAGTTTTACAAAAAAAAAAATATATATATATATATATAACATAAATAGCAATATAAAATGATAAACCTAAAGCTTACAGATCCAAAACGTTTGAAAAGTAAAAGAATGAAAAAAGCTGTACCAGGCAAATTCTAACCACAACAAAGCTGGCACACCTCTATTAGTTTCACACAAACACTCTTTACGGTTAAAAAAAAATTACTAGCAATAAAGCAAGACATTATATGATCATAAATGGTTCAATGACCTGAGAAAAAAACAATGAATGTTAAACTTACATGCACCCATTTTGAGGCTCAAACTATAAAAAGAAAAATAGCATAAGAACAAAAGAAACATATGAACTACCATAGTAGGAGATATGAACATATCTCATTCAGTAGTAAAAAATGGATCAAGCACACAAAAAATATCAAAGATACATAAAGAGCATCTGAGCAAACCTATTGACAATGTAAATCTAACAAACACATACAAGTACCAAACAAGTGCAGAAAAGAAAATTCTTTTCAAAGCATACACAAAAACTGACCAAATCAAGCAAGTCTCAAGCAATTTCCAAGGATTCATGGATCAAACAGATCATGTTCTTTACAAACAAAACAGTTAAGTCATAATAGAAATTAATAGAACAGGAAAAAACACACTAGAGAGAATAAAGCTAAAAGTTTACTCTTTGAAAAGAACACACCCCTGGCAAGATTGAACAAGAAAAAAAGAAACAGATGGCACAATAATTATATTAGGAATGAAGAAAAAGGGAAATGACAACAAATTATTCTGGCATCAAAAAGATAATATCATGATTAACTTTATGTTAATCAACTTGAAAATTTAGATAAATATATAGAGTCCTAGAAAAATGTGACTTATCAAAACTGTTTCAAACAGAAACAAAATACTTGAAGGGCATAAGATTACTAGACCCAGGTATCTGTAGTTGCATGTTTTAACAATATCAACAAAAAATTAAATACAGTCTTTAAAAAAAAAAGCTCAAAATAGAGAAAACATATCCCCAAATTCATTTTATAAAGCTACCATAACCTGACAACCTGGTAAGAAGAGTACGAGAACAGAAAATCAAAGACAGTATCTATCACTCAGGAATATCTACGAAAAAGCCCTGAACAAAGTGAATTCAGTAATTTATAAAAAGAGAAATATAAAATGGTCAAGTTGTGCTATCCCAGGAATACAATATTGGTTTACAAATAGAAAATCCACTAATGAAACTCATTATAAATAATATTACATTAAGAAATTGTATAATCAATCACTGCAGAAAAAGTGTTGAATTAAATGCGACATTAGCTTACAGTTTAAAATACAAAGAAATGCAAAGAAGGAAATTTACTTAATCTGGCAAAGATATGCATTTAAAAAAAAAAAACCCCACAACAAACATTAGACTTAACTGTGAAGCATGGAAAAGATTATTGTTCAGTTTAAGAATAAGAGAAGGGTACCTGCTATACCATTTCTTATCAATATTGTTCTGGAAGGCTTAGTCAACAAGCCATTAAAAAAACTGCCATTCTTCATGTAAGATGTTAATATCTACATAGAAGACAACAAAAGAATCTACAGATACATTATGAGGACTAACAAAAGACATTAGGAAGGTGACTGGTTCAAGGATGAATATTAAAAGCTCTCAGGCCAGGCGTGGTGGCTCAAGTCTGTAATCCCAGCACTTTGGGAGGCCGAGGCGGGTGGATCACGAGGTCAAGAGATCAAGATCATCCTGGTCAACATACTGAAACCCCGTCTCTACTAAAAATACAAAAAATTAGCTGGGCATGGTGGTGCGTGCCTGTAATCCCAGCTACTCAGGAGGCTGAAGCAGGAGAATTGTCTGAACCCAGGAGGCGGAGGTTGCAGTGAGCTGAGATCGCGCCATTGCACTCCAGCCTGGGTAACAAGAGCGAAACTCCGTCTCAAAAAAAATAAATAAATAAAATAAAAGCTCTCTACATTTCCATACTACCAATAAACAAGTGGAAAATATAATAAAAACATGTTACTTAGAGTAGCATTGAAACTATAAAGAATTTAGCAGCGGAGAATGGACAGACCTGAATAAACACTTCCATACAATAAAACACAAATATCAAATAAATACACAAAAAGAGCCTTTACTCCTTAGTAAGTGAGGAAATGCAAACTAAAACCAAAATGAAATACTATTTTCTACCTACCAGACCATAAAAATTAGGAATCCTGACACTATCAGGTATTGATAAGGATGTATGGACATCTGCACAATTATGTAATGAATGACAGAAATGATTTGGGATTTTATTGTAAAGTTGCAGATGTGCATGCCTTGGGAGCCAGAAGTTCACTATTTAGGTATAAAATTTAGAGAACCTCTTGCAGAAGACATACACTACAGTATTTTATAACTGTTTGTAACAGTAACCAATTAGAAACAATCCTGACGTCCACTGGATTAGAAACACTGACAAATAAAATTATGGTATATTCTTCAATGAAAATAATTATAGCTACGTGCAACAACTTGGATAAACCTCAGGAATATCATTTTGAGGGAAAAAAAAAACACTTGCAGAAGAATACATAATTACTTCATTTACGCTTTAAACATGCAAAACTAAATATGCTATTTAGGAACATAACTATATATGGTAAAATTAAAAAGCAATTAATGATCAATACAAAATGTATGAGCAAAGGTACTTTGATAGCCTAGGAAAGAAGATGGGATTAGGGAGAGGCACCTAAAGCACGTTAAATAAAAGCAGATTTTATTTTAACTAGATGGTGGGTACCAGGATTATTTATATCTTGAAATACTTCTACTAATTTGAGTCTACCGAATATTCAATATTCAATAATAAACTTTTTTTTTTAAGTTACTTAGATAATTTAGAACTTGTACTAAGAAACAAGAAGGCTGCACTTTAGGCCAAACAAGGCAATGAAAACTGTGGTGGGACAAATTTTTTTTGGAGACTAGTAACTAAGCTAGAATAATGGGGAAAACAAAGGCATATTTATATGCTTCTAGAAGAACACAGACATTAAGGGTACATAGGTTTTTAAGGAACTGGTACAAAATGTGGACCATAAAGTTTTAAATATTTAATAAATTTGTGACATTTAGTTCTTCTTGAGTCTGCTCTCTCCCCAAATGTTGCTGTGCTTTTTAAATTACTGAAGCAAAAGATTAACCACATCTATTTTTCTATCAGTGCCTTATGTTTAACCTACATTATAAATGCATAAGCCAGAGTTAGAATTACTTGTATTCTTTACTACACATACTAATACAATTTAATTTGGTATACATTTTTATTACCAGCTGTACGAAATCATGAAATAAATATAGTTAGAATACAAAAACCTTGCTAAAGTTAAAACAATCTTTATCTTTAAAATCTTATGTTGCATAGCACCTAACAGTCTCTGAAAATACAGGATATAATTTATCAGTTTGGCACCAACTAAAAAAGGAAATGATTGAGATTATCATTTTAAGTATTTTACTAGAAACATACTTCTTCCACCTGCCCATCTTCAGCTCCATCTTTCTCTTTGTCTTCCTCCTCATCATCATCATAGTCTTCTTCTTCATCTTCATCTTCTTCAGATGACGTATCCCCAGTTCCATCAACTTGTAAGACCAATGGAGCTTGTGTTTGAGCAGGCTGGGCCTGTGGTTGCTGCTGGCCAGTTGCAGTTATTTGTGCTTGGGCTGGTGTAGGTGCTGCCACTGTCGTAGGTATAACTTGAGTCTTATTTCCTGTAAATAAGATTTGCTGAGGCTGAATGATAACACCCGCCTGTGGTGAAATCCCTCCAGGAAGAGGAGCCAGTACCTAAAGCAAAAGAAAACCACATAATAGTAACTAGTTAAGAGGATCAAGTATGGTATATAGAAATAGCACCAAATGCTGAAGAATCACCAGAAATGGCCATATTGCATATACAGTTAAAACTACCAAAGTAAAAATGCAATGTTTAACTAGTGTACTGACCCACTAAATTTCTATTTTATCAAATTTCTGGAAAATAAGGATTTTCTAAAGATAATTACTTCACCTCATTTATTCAGCACTTAATATGTACATGCCAGATACCAGGCCAAGAGCTGTACACTGCTTTTATATGAGGAACACTGGACTGAGAATCTGAAAACCTGGGTCTACTTTTGTCTAAGGTCAGACATAGATATAGCAGAGGCAAGTCATTTAATTCCTTTTGGCCTCTGGCATTCAATGTTAGACTAGGATCAATTGTTCTTAACCCTGGCTGCAAATAACAACCACCTGGTAGCTTAAAAAGTACTGATACCTTGGCCATACCCTTAATATTCCAACTCAGTGTGAGGTAAAAGCTAATTATTTTTCTAAAGCCACCAGATCAGATAATTTCTTAAGTTCCTTCCCAGGTTCTGCATCTAAAATTCTAAAGTAAGCCACAACTTATTAACAAATATTAATTCTATATATTATAATAAAGGAGGACTGGATGCTTGTTACCTGCCATTAGGTTCAAGGAATGCAAACAGAAGACATAGTATTTCTTTTAAAACACTTACACATGGTGTAACAGTACAAAAGACAAAAAAAAAGGTACAATAGGCAAACAAAGCACTAACAACTCAAAAAGACAGGAGACGTAGTACAAATATGACACAGTATTATGGGAAGACAAGAGAGGGTACGAAATTCAACTTGGGGGACAAGCCATGCTTAAATATTACTTATATCATTACCAAGTAATACTTGAGTTTCTGTTTGTGATTTATGGCAGCAGTTCCCAACCCCTGTTAGAAACCAGCTGCACAGCAAGAGGTGAGCGAGCATTACCATCTGAGCTCTGCCTCCTGTCAGATCAGCGGCAGCATGAGATTCTCATAGGAGCACAAACCCTACTGTGAACTGCACACGCAAGGACAGAGGTTATGCACTCCTTGTGCGTGATGATCTGAAGTAAAAGTTTCACCCTGAAACTATCCCCACTGCCCCATATGTGGAAAAGTTGCTTTCTGCACAATCAGTTCCTGGTATCAAAAAGCTGAGGGACCGATGCTCTAAGAAGGTTAGCCGGGTGTTTCTGTTTTATTTGTTTGGGGGACGTGCAGGGAGGTTGCCAGACAGCATTCTTAGGAGAAGAGTAACAACAAGTGAAACCAAGAAGTGACAGCAGGATGTAATTTTGGAAAGATGCAAATAAACTGGATTAATACTACTGCTCTGATCTTGTCTCTATCATCATACTATTTTATTGACATTTAAAAGAGAGGTAGACACATAAACATATAAAGTACGTAAGTTCCTCAAGAAAACAACCATACCTCTTTTATTTTAGTGCTCACAGCACAAGAATATAATGCAAGTAGATCCAAGTATTTATTTTGATGTAAATGTAGCTAAAGAATATACCTGGGAGCATGGCAAGAAATAAACTTGAAGGGTACAAAGAAACAAGATCCACAAAAAGATCTTATTGAGTTGTTTAGGCTTCTTTCAGAAAGCAATGGGAAGTTGTTAAAAGGTTTTTTTAGAAAGACAGGCCAGGCGCAGTGGCTCACGCCTATAATCCTAACACTTTGGGAGGCCATGGCAGGTAGATTACCTAAAGTCAGGAGTTCAGGGCCAGCCTAGCCAAAATGGTGAAACTCCGTCTCTATTAAAAATACAAAAATCAGGACCAGGCGTGGTGGCTCAAGCCTGTAATCCCAGCACTTGGGAGGCCAAGGCAGGCAGATCACGAGGTCAAGAGATCGAGACCATCCTGGTCAACATGGCAAAACCCTGTCTCTACTAAAAATACAAAAAATTAGCTGGGCACAGTAGTGCGTGCCTATAGTCCCAGCTACTCAGGAGGCTGAGGCAGGAGAATTGCCTGAACCCAGGAGGCAGAGGTTGAGGTGAGCCGAGATCGTGCCATTGCACTCCAGCCTGGGTAACAAGAGTGAAACTCCATCTCGAAAAACAAAAACAAAAAAATCAGCTGGGCACAGTAGTGCATGCCTGTAATCCCAGCTACTTGGAAGACTGAGGCAGGATAATGCTTGAACCCAGGAGGCGGAGGTGGCAGTGAGCTGAGATTGTGCCATTGCACTCCAGCCTAGGCGACAGAGACAGACTCTATCTCAAAAAAAAAAAAAAAATTGAAAGAAAAAGAAAAAACAGAAAGAGGACTATAATCAGTCAGGTTAGGAGGGCACAAGATAAGAGGCAGATACAATATAGTATTTTAGTGACAAACTATGGACAATATGAACTAAGGAAATGACAAGAGAGGCTGAGGAAAAAACAATGTCAAACATATTAAGGGACTGCAAAAACATGTCACAACTGCAGTTAAAAAAAAGAAAGAAAAACTATTAACAAGAATTGGAAGGGCCAGATACCTTGGATATCAGAGATAAGGAAAAGGAAGATTACACTTACCCATTTCCAGAATATAGAATAACCATCATGAAACTAGAGTCATGTCTGCCTCACTCACTCCTAAATTCCTTGACCCTTGTGAAACCCTGAGACTCAGTAACTGCTTATTGAATAAAGGCCCAATGACCAGCTTAGGAGGCCGGAAGTAGAGTGCTGCCACCTTCAAGGGGATGATGAAGGATGGACAGACACAATAATTGTTGTTTAATAGATGTTGAATCTAGATTAAGCTGTATACAGGAGAAATTCGAAACAACAGGGTCTGTAGTACTGAAGAAGAGTCTAAGAAATTGTGCATATAAGGGAGGGGAACTACCCAGGGAATACATATAGAAGAAAACAGAACCCCCTACCAATCATAATAGAAGATTATTTTACCTGCTGTATAACAGGAGCTTGTACTCCACCAGGCTGCATTTGTGGTATAACCTGTTGTTGTAGAACCACTGACTGCTGAGGCTGAAAGATATACTGGGCACCATTGGCTGCTCTGACCACCTGAAGAAGCTGGCCTAAAGCAAAAAGCATGTATTCCAAGTTGTAATTTTAGCAGTGACCATCTCAAAAGAAATGAATTCATATTTAATTTCAAACCACCAAAGGCACAAGAAATTATCAAGTAGGAAAACTAACAATTTTATTAAAGGCTATTGTCCATACACAGTATGCTACAATCCTTCCCTTCTCTGACTTCTCACCATGTTCAAATACATTCCTTAAAATGTTTTATTTTTCATATTGATATCCTCATTCAGTTATTTCCAACAATGTTTTAACAAGAGATTATGAGACTTGACTAAAAGCTTACATTATCTTTGCTAACGTTAGGAGTCAAGAAAGAGCAGTAAGATCAGACACATCAGGAGCTGTTCATTTTTAAAGCTTTAAAGGAACAAAAGCTTAATAGTTCATTTCATATCTTGAACCGAACAAAGCACCACAATACTTTGCTTCAAAATTGGTAAAAGCAGTAAGTTTCCTGAACCAGTCAGTTATCATCATTGTCATACAATTCACATAGAATCAAATTCCCCCAATATGCTCCTTTAGATGATCCAGAATCCTAAATTGATTAAAAAGCAAATTACATCTTATTAAAATATGTAGCTAGACAAGCCCCTAATTTCACAAATTTACAAATTAACAAAAATAACATACATATATAGAACAGAAAATAAATAGTAACTATATAATCAAGATTACAGGAGACACTTGAAAATAAATTTTTACATCCATGAAAATAAATTTTTCAAACACAAACATTCAAATGCCACTATAATATAACTGGCATTATATTCTAGGTATATTGAGCTAGACATTAGTCTTTTGTCAATAAAGAGATATTACGTATAATAACAGCATACGATAAATTTTCTTTTAATATGCTCTAGTAATTAGTTTGATATCACAAGTTCAAGTAAGTTTAATACTCACTTGGCTCATTAAATGTGTTTAGTAAAAACCTAAGTAAGCATTTTTATATAATCATACTTCAATAATAGAGTTCTCATGTACAGATCAAAGGTTCAAGTACAATTTTCATCTTCTTTACTGTATCCTCAACAATTACAGTTGTGTTACAGCCCTCAAATAAAGTTATGTTAATAATCTAAACCAAATGGTAAAAAAAAAATTAGTATTTTCCGTCTTTCAAAGAAGATAAAACCTAAGGGCTAGATAGTACAATTTTCTAAATTTTACTTTAAAATGATTCCATCATTCCTAATTACCTGAATTTGTTAATATCTGCTGAACAGGAGTCACACCTGCAGGGAGTGCTAAGGTAGCAGCTGTAGCAGCAGCACTCTGAAAAAAAAAAGAAAAGAAAAGAAAAGAAAAAATATCAAAACCACATACATATATAATACTACCTGTTTATCTCTAGCATATTTTATTAGTATATTATTTTTGTTTAGAATATACCAAAATTTAAAAAAAATCTAGTAAGAACTAAATCCCATTAAGAAAGACCAACCTAGTCTAAATGACCTACTAAATTATTTTAAGCAATTAAATAAAACAATTGGGTTTTATTTCCCCTAGAGAAGGTGCTCTAAGGAAACCTCACAGGTACTGTAGCTTTTTTCTGCCTCTTTGCCCTATCAATACTCTTTAAGGTACCTACCCTTCCTATACTCAATCTAACCTATACATTTTTAGGTAATACCCACATTAACAATACTGTATAATATATGAAATAACTATTTCATCTTTGCTTTCTTTCTCACTGTTTCCTTATCCCCATTTCCTTGAGGTAAAAGTATAATTGTCTTCTTTCTAGAATTCTTAACTTTTAAAATTTCTACTAAAATCAACAGGTATCTACAGAGAACACTGCATCAGAACACTTCACTGGGAGTATAGCTGACAATTCTTCTAAGATGTCATATTAGCCAAGAAAAAAAGGGACATATTGGCATTATATTCTAGGTAAAATATTTATTAATGACAGATTAATATAAAAAACTCTTTAAAGCTTAAGAAAAGTCATACCAGGTGCAGTGGCTCACACCTGTAATCCCAGTAATTTAGGGAGGCCAAGGTGGGCAGATTGCTCGAGCTCAGGAGTTTGAGACCAGCCTGGGCAATAAGGCAAAACCTTGTCTCTACAAAAACCACAAAAATTAGCTGAACAAGGTGGTGCACACCTATAGTCCCAGCTCCTTGGAAGGCTGAGGTGGGAGGATGGCTTGAGCCTGGAAGGTGGAGTTTACAGTGACCAAGACTGCGCCATTGCACCCAGCCTGGGTAATAGTCACAAACTTTAATTTCTACATTTAAAAATGAAGGTTGTTTGTGACACTTAAGTTATAAAGATATAGATGGGATTATATTCTGAGTTTCTTTAAATCCAGGACAAATTCTTGACTTCCTGCTTCTGGAGAGTTTTCTCCTCCTGCCCTCCCACAAAGAATTATACCATTCTCTGGCTTTTTATTCTGTGCTTTAAGCATTTTCCTGTATCCCACTATAGCTACACATTTAGGTAGGTTTTTTTTTCCCCTCTCTTTTCAATCTTCTTTAGGTACCAATCATTCATACATTCAATCTAACCTATACATTTTTAGAACTACACATATCTGGGTAAGCTTAAAGAAATATAACTGCCTTGTAAATGCTAGTGCCAGAGAAGTTAACAAACTTGGAAAATTATTACACTGGGTTAATAATTCTACTGTCTAGCCTGGGCTCTAGGTATACAGCTTTCCAAGAAAATACACTTGTTACCACTTGACAAATGTAAGTGACTTCTACATCTTGGGCCTGAAAGTCCCACGATATCTCCAGAATTTAACTATAGTCCACCAGGTTGATCCATGTTTAAGCTGGATACTCAATTATCTAATTTAAGATAAATCTTGTCTATATAAGCAAATTAAAGGTTATCTAAGTTTAAGGAAAATATTAACAACCACACACTATTAAGCAATATTATTTAAAAAATATATTATTTAGAAATGTTAAGTGCCTATAATTCATATTTTGTAAGATAACAATTCTCCCTCTACCAGCAAACTGACATAGTAGTTTCTATAGTACTTTTTATATAATATACATGATCCAATAACTACCTGCACACCCTTCACAAATTCAAGTTGCATAACAGATATTTGCTGAGTCATGTACCATACAAACCACTTTATACTTAATAACTATTAAAATTTCTTCTTGTATTCCACAAAACAGCCCAAACAAGAATAATGCATTACACCATTCATTTCACAAAAAAGAATCAAATACAATGGTTTAATTTCCCTGAAACAGCCTTCTACTATATTACTCTCTCACATTTTTATGAATTATATGTTCATTTCTAATGTAAACAGAGCCATCAGAAAGAATAAAAATGTTTTTGCTGAGTATTTCTGAATCAGAAATAATAATGTAAACCCACAAAAACCTACAACACTTTTATTGGTACAGAGCCTATACTGATTACCCTTCAGAAATACATGAAGGAAACACTGACTAAAAACAACAAAGTAAAATGCAACTCAATCAGAAATGTTAAATAAATTCTCCTGAATAACTGACCTATGATTTGTTTAAATACATATGCTCTTTAGAATAAAGGGGACTTAACCAGTAAGAGATGGACCACTGATTTTTACCCTAGAAATAACTTATTAATTCAAAAATCTCTTCCACAACATTTATAATTCTTTTAGAGGGGCCTACCGCAAGAGATCCTGCCAAAATTTGTTTTAAAATAATGCAAGTTATTCCCTAGGATACAGTCTTAATAACATCAACTGCAATATGCACTGTATAGTGAGACTTTTTTTTTAAGGTGGAGGTTAAAAAAAAACTGGGGCTTTAGACTTAAAATTGAGTTTTTTCTAATAAAAAATCTTGTGAGAATAACAGGCATGAAATTTTTTGATTTTCATGTAAATGAATTGATTCTAGTAACTGTAACTACAAGTACAAATAGAGATCCTTATATTTGTGAATTTAAAAATTCTGATTTCTAGCATTATGTAGAAACTTTCAATTTTGCCAAGGTATGAATTTGTGAGACTGGTAATGTGTAGGAAGAAGTCATTTGTCTAGTGGGTAAGCCCTTCTTATTTAACTGATGATCACAAATGAGCTTTGTGATTCACTATCACTCACAAAGCAGAGCTGATCTTTCCATATACTGTTTTTTGGTTTAAAAAAAAAAATCTTGGTGTGGCCGCCATTGCTACACCCATACACTGCACCCTTCTATAGATGAAAACTAACTTGCTGAGAGGACTTATCTTCAAGTGCTATTTCTTTTGCAGCACCAAAATTTTACTTATAACAATTATAGGGGCTTGTCCGAGATTCACCGTTCTCCTCTGGGCAGTCTCAGACCTCTCATGAGGAGATGCATCCTGCTGCTTCAGTTTGCAGCAGCCTTGTGGGTAAAGCATTGAGACCTACTCGATGTGACAAACAATCGCAGCTTCTCAGCAGTGCAGGGGCGGTGGGGGAAGGCCTATGAATGCTGTGGCAACTAAGCAACTCTGTGCACAGCCCAAGAAAAAGACACTGCGGGGATCCGGGAAAGTACTTCCTTGGTGGTTGGGACAAAGATGCCATCCTGAAGTTTCCAGTATACCAGCTCCAGCCTGGAGACCACCCTTCCTCGTGCTGCTAGCCACCAAGACTGCCATTCATACAGCAGAAAAGAAAGAGCCATCACCATTATATCACGGTGCTTTCACACTTGAGTCAAGAAAGCGCCATCACCATTAGAATCACGGGCTATTGTCCCAGGATCAGACCCTATCAAGTTAAAGCTAAGAAAAACTTAGCCTTTTTTTTTTTCTTTTCTTCCCTTCACTCCCCATCTTGTTATAATGTAATCAGATCTGGCTCACCTCAAGTTGTTGCTTTAATGTGTGATTAGTTATGCCTTGTAGAGAAGTGCATAACCAAGGACAGCTTGCTGCTTCCGGAACAATGTCTCTGTCCCTCTTAGACTTCCTCACGTTAGGAAGATAAGATGAGTTCCTCTAAGGATACTAGTAATCCAAGGGATAATAGTAGCCGCATTTGTAATTGGTAGGAATCAGATTCTTGTCCCTCTAAAACAGAATCTCTATGTTCTGCTTAGTCTAATGTCATATGGAACACTAAAGGTTTAAGGCAGACTGCTTCCACAGGTCTTTGTCAGTCCTCAAAACTATATATCCACTTCACCAAAGGAATTACTCCTTCTAGTAGTCAATATAACCAATGCAATCCTATACCACTTACTGTTGTTACTGCAATATCTGGAAACTCTTCCCCCTCTTAAGTCATATTTATGGTAGAGGAGCTGACATTCTTTAGGAAAGAATCCTAAAGAAATTTTTGAAATGCACTTTATTGCTCCTTCAACCTCTTTATCAACCACTCCTCCTAGACACAATGACAAAACCAAAAGTCTCAATGGTAGAAGTAGATGACCTAAGGCAAACCGTAGCCACTTTAACAGGATATAAGGATGCAAACCCCTGGGAAGAATGGATTAAATTTAATTCCTGCGACTGTTACGCTTGTGTGCACAGTAGGCCAGAGGCCCAGGTTGTCCCCTTTCCACTTGAATGGTCCCCATATCATGCGGACATGGAATGCATAGTAGTACTTTCTCAGAAATCCAATGACTGGAATAACAAATTGTGCCAAGTTCCTTCACTGCTATTTCCTGAGGTTCAACACTCCACGGGTCAACCCGAGGGCCATACAGCCTCCATCTCCCAAGGCAAAGTTCAACATGTGTCTGTCATGGCAAGGGGGCGAACTTACTGTTCCTTGGGAACTTAACAGGATGCAGTGAAGTCAGGCACTTCCAAGAACTGGCGCATCAGTCCGCCCTTACTCATCCCCGAGCGAATGGATGGTGGTATTGTAGAGGACCTTTACTGGACACTCCGCCAAATAACTGGAGTGGCACTTGCACTCTAGTCCAATTGACTATCCCCCTTCTACTCTGGCATTTCGTCAACCAAAGAAAGAGAAATTACAATGGCAAATAAGAGAAGCTCCTTATAGGTCTTTTGATTCTCATGTCTAGTTAAATGCAACTTGAGTTCTTTGAGGAGTACTACATAAATTTAAAGCCCAAGATCAGACAGCTGCAAGATTTAAGTCAATGTTGTTTCTGGTAGGTAACAATTAATTTAAAAAATTGTACATTAGATAAACTACATGTATTACAACCAACAGTGGTTTGTTAACTATACTAAAGATGCTGTCAAAGGAACAATTAGGATCCACTAGCCAAATGGCCTAAGAAAATAGAATAGCCCTATATATGATATTAGATAATTATACTTCTTGTTAGATGTGTCACACCATGCATCCAAGGACTTGTGCATAGTAGACACAACTCTTACTAAAATATCCCCAACCCCTCCTCCACCCTATTCAGATAGATTACTTCTTTCAGAAGAACAAAGAGAACTAAGCCAAGACATGTTAAAGAAGTTTGAAAAGAAAAAAAAAGAAAACTGTAAAAATTCAACATGGATGATTGTTATAGTGAACCCCAAGTTTCTCTTCAAAGAATCAGTATGTCAGCATATTTAACTCTCTTATTCTTTAATACTCTATTTTAAAGATTAAGTTCCTTGTAATTCCAGTAAACAACCTTCTTCACCTGTTCTAATCAGTAGATCACATTTGCTCCCCCCACCCCCAGTTCCATACTGACTCATCTCGGTCACCTGATCACCCCTGGCTACCTGCTCTGACAAGCTCAAAACCAACCTTCTTGCTAAAACACCCACCCTGCCATTCCAGCTCCTACCCTATTTTATCTTTTAAAAATATTTTATCTATTTTATCTTTGTAAAATAGCCCATTGGGATTATTCTAGCTTGTGTGGTCTAACCCTAAACAATAGGGAATGACACAGCAGTAGAAACGACCCCTGTCAGGCATAAGTACCTATTCCCCATTTGTCCAAGCATGTAGCCGCCATAACTCCATCCATACGCTGCACCCTTCTACAGAAGTAAACTGCCTTGCTGAGAGTGCTTAAAAAAATTCTTGAGGTTGAGTGTGGTAGCTCACGCCTGTAACCATAACATTGTGGGAGGCTGAGTTAGGTGGATCACTTGAGGTCAGGAGTTCAAGACCTGCCTGGCCAACATGGTGAAACCCCGTCTCTACTAAAATACAAAAAATTAGCCGGGTATGGTGGCACACACCTGTACTCCCAGCTACTCAGGATGCTGAGGTGGGAGGATCAGTTGAACCTGGGAGGCAGAGGTTGCAATGAGCTGAGATTACACCACTACACTCCAGCCTGGGTGACAGAGCGAGACTCCACCTCAAAAAAAAAACAAAAACAAAAACAAAAACTTGAACCAAAAAAAAAGAGAGAAACAAGCTCATTCCTAGTACTAACTAGTTATATAGGCTAAAAGATCTTTTTACAAATATTGATTCTTTCACCTTTAAAGAAAGTGTTTTGGCTGAAGAATGAAATGTTAGAGCTGAATCACCACTCTATTAAATTAACAGTCTGTATATTTTAAACAAGGAAAAACCATTCATAAGGAAGTACTGAACTACTCTAATCTGACTGTATTTAATGTTTTATTTTAAAAATAAATAAATAACTTCCAGGATACAGGTAAACATTTTCTAAGGATCTGAAGAGGTTCTTTCATTTTTACAGTTAAACTATACTATATTTGATGAAAAATATTGTATGTCTGAAATGTAATTTGAAAATAGGAGTGAGGACTTGTTAAGTTTAGTGGATAGTCTTCAGAAATATAAAAATTCTAATGTAACTCAACTGGTTAAAATGTATTCTTTGGTAATTTACACACTATAATGCCTTACTAGACTATACTACAGTTAAATCAGAGCAACATTTTTAAACTCTTGATTTTAAAAACAGTTATACTGAACTATCCAAACAGTTCATCTTCATTTTTTTAAAGTTCACAATTCTTAGCCTTCCTGATCTTTTGCAATTACTAGGTCTCCTGAAACAGAACCATACTTGGCATTATAGGTTTGGGAGTTCCTGTAGAACTTTTTCAGAAATAGTAGGGAATGGAGTAACTCTCACAAAGCACCCTTCTTTTGGTATGTTTAAACAAAGAACTCCACAATTTTATGAACCTTAATGTCTCAGTACCAAGCCATAAACTTTGGATCCAATATTCAGGAAACCAAAACAGCTATTTTGCTCAAGTCTTCAATAAACTTCAAGTTGTTAATATATGATGACACACATAGGCATAATCACAATTTGTGTTAGAACTAAGTACAGCCAATCAAAGTGCTATATTCTGACTCTTACCATGTTTGATGCATTCATATGCTGTATCAACTTAGAATCTGGAACAATAACTTGTGGTGCTGTGGCTACAAAAAAGCACACATGCAAACAAGGAACCATGAGGCTATTTTATAATCACAAGAACACTTTACACACAATGAAAAATTTTTTTTCATGTTTTCCACGTTTTCTGTACTCAAATGCTTTCAATCATTTGATCTCAGGACGTTATAAATTCTATGACAAGTAATAGCTGTGATATACCTAACTAATAATTAAAAAATATTTAAGGCCAGATGTGGTGGCTCACACTTGTAATCACAGCACTTTGGGAGGCCAAGGTGGGCAGATCACTGAGGTCAGAAATTTTTTGAAATCTACATAGTCCTTATCTCTCAATATCCTTATCTCTCAATATGACAGTTGATAGACTCAAGCTACTTTCATCAGCTGTTTAAAAACTACAAATCAGCCGGATGTGGGGGCACACACCCATAGTCCCAGCTACTAAGGAGGCTGAGGTGAGAGGATCACTTGAGCCCAGGAGTTCTGGGCTGTAGTGTGCTATGCCCATCAGGTGCCCAACAAAGTTCAGCATCAATATGGTGACCTCCTAAAAGCAGGGGACCACCAGGTTGCCTGAGGAGTGGTGAACCAGTCCAAGTTGGAAAAAACACAAATCAGAAATAATGGCAATGTTACTTAAGAGTAAACGGAATGAAATGTTTGATTCTGCAAATTTCAGAGAACAGATGGATAATCCCATTATCCTAATAGTCTCTGAGTGAAGAAAATCAAATTTTAATTTATGATGACCTAAAATCCTAATGCCAGGTCTGAAGGCAACAGGAGGAACAGTCATCAAAAAATACTAAAAGAACAAAATTATTTGACACAAAGTATACATTAAAATCAGGTATGAAAAGTACTACTCTATATCAACAGTAAAATAACCCAAATAGATGTTTCTACTATTTATCATTATTAATTTTGAGACACTTATGTATACAGGCAAATGAGTAACTAAACAATTACATTAAAATAAAGTTTTTACTTCTAGTCTCCTCTCCCATAAAACTTCTAGTCTCCTCTCCCATAAAACCAGACGCACTGAATTAGAATGCTCAGTAAGTTTTATAACTGAATAAATATTTGTCATGAGAGAAAATACAGAGCAAGTTTCTTAGCCTTTTCTGGGCTCAGATTTTCCTGAGCTGTGAAACTGAGCCAAGGGGTATTTTACAAAGCCCGCATAAGGTACCAATAAAACAGTATCTATAAAATGACTTGCAGAGTATAAAGCTCTATGGACACAGTCTATAAATATCTACCCCCCTAAGACGGAACCTTGCTCTTGTCACCCAGGCCGGAGTGCAGTGGCACAGTCTTAGCTCACTACAACCTCCACCTCCTGGGTTCAAGTGATTCTCCTGCCTCAGTCTCTTGAGTAGCTGGGATTACGGATACATGCCACCATGCTCAGCTAGTTTTTGTATTTTTAGTAGAGATAGGCTTTCACCATGTTGGTCAGATTGGTCTCAAACTTCTGACCTCATGATCTGGCCTCCCAAGGTGCTGGGATTACAGGCATAAGTCACTGTGCCTGGCCAATATATGCTTTTTCTTAGCTTTAAACCAAGTAAAATAAATTAAGATATGTTATATATCCACTCTTAAAGTAAATCTAATTCAGTACATTTGGGCTTACATAAATTACTATGGAATTGAATTTTCAGATTGCCAAAGTATACAAGACTCCAGAGTTTAAGATATATTTTAAAAACTAATCTGAAACATGTCTTTGAAAGAACATGTTTTCTAAAGAAAGCAAACAACTATTTTACCATACATATAAAAATAATAAAGCCCTGGCTGGGCACGGTGGCTCAAGCGTGTAATCCCAGCACTTTGGGAGGCCAAGGCGGGTAGATCACGAGGGCAAGAGATCAAGACCATCCTGGTCAACATGGTGAAACCCCATTTCTACTAAAAATACAAAAAAATTAGCTGGGCATGGTGGCGCGTGCCTGTAATCACAGCTACTCAGGAGGCTGAGGCAGGAGAATTGCCTGAACCCAGGAGGCGGATGTTGCGATGAGCTGAGATCGCACCATTGCACTCCAGCCTGAGTAACAAGAGCAAAACTCCGTCTCAAAATAATAATAATAAAAATAATAATAATAAAGCCCTTAAATCTAAAAAATAAACCTTTTAGATTTAACTTAATTTAGGAAATCCATCATTACACAGCCTTTTCAAAACAAAGTTATTAATACAACTTCTCTGAATATCATCTTAAGCTTTCAGTTAATAAATTACTTGTCTACCATTACTCCACAGATGATAGAACCTATATTTTATACAAATTTATATACATTTACATACACACACCCCTCAGCCAAGAGAAAAGAGAAAAAAGCCTGAAATCAACATAGGGTTTTTTGTTGTTGTTGTTTGTTTATTCTTAGGTTCTCCATGACCCCCCTTAAAAAAACAAGATCCAAGAAATGCAGAATATTTCTCTTCTTTCAAAATGACAAACTTAATTTTCAAGTCATAAGTAGGAAAACAAATCCAGTCCCACCTTGCTGTGATGCGGGAATAAGGACCTGCTGGGTCTGTGCTTGCTGAGGTACTGTCTGCTGAGGCTGAGTTTGCTGATGGTGGTGATGGTGGTGATGCTGCTGCTGCTGGGGTTGATGCTGCTGTTGAACTTGCAGTAGAAGCTGCTGCTCTTCTGAATGAAATCCATCTACTGCCCTGGACTGCATTAGTTTATTTTCCCATAACTAAGGCAAAGAACATTAAAGATTTCTAAGTGGAAGATAAAATAACTTTGGACAGATGAACGCAACAATTTTATTAATCTATTTATAAAATTATTCCATTTTAAAAACTGATACAGACACAAAAATACAACCAATCTATAATTCTAACCCAAGTGTAAACAACAGCAAAAACAAAACTGTAAAGCATCAAACCGTATTTTTGCCACATCAGAGTATTGGAGAATTTTGTTTCTTTTTATATTTTATTATTATTTTTTAAAAATTTTACTTGTTATACTTTAAGTTCCGGGGTACATGTGCAGAACGTGCAGGTTTGTTACACAGGTATACACGTGCCATGATGGTTTGCTGCATCCATCACCCTGTCATCTACATTAGTTATTTCTCCTAATGCTATCTCTCCGGTATCCCACCCCCTGCTATCCCTCCCCTATCCCCTCATCCAAACTTTCTATAGTAATTCCTTAATCATCAGCTATTATAAAGCAATGAGTTTCACATAAGCAACTTCTTTAGTAATCAAAGATTATCCTTTATAATATTCAAAACCATTACTAAACTATTTTCATATACGTTTTCCTTATAAAAATACAAAATACAAAATGTTCTGCCTCAACATGCAAAACATAAATTCTTAAATAGCATACAAATTGTAAATTCATTTTGAACAATGGAAACATAGAGGCAACTGCCTGAAGTAGAAAAGCCCAACTTTCCATCTGTCCAAACCTACACAAAGAAAAAGAACCAGCAATGCCCAAAGGTCATTGGTTGGGTATCCCAACTTTCCACACTTCTTAAAATTTCCTTCCTTCTTCTATTAAGCCAAGAATTGGCAATCCTTTTATGTTTAGCCATTTCTATTTTCTCATGTCACCTTACGTTCTCTGATGAGAAAAATCATAATGGACAAAAACAAAGAAAAGATGTTCAACGATTTCATTCTTCTACCTAACATTTCCTCTCTACCAGCTTTAGGGTTCAATCTGGAGCCTCAACCTTACAAGAAATTGCCCAAAAAGTCACAAACTATTCCTTGAAAATACAGATGAAACTTCAGTCATTCTGCATACAAGGATCTACATCTACTTTGTTTTCTCCTCCAGGATATGCTTTTAGAATATTGCCTAATTGACCTGAGGCTTCTATCAGATCCTTCCAGAAGTTCCCTTTGCCATCCTCGCAGAGAGTTTTTTTTGTTTCATTTTATTTTTAATTTTAGAAACAGAGACAAGGTCTCACTATGTTGCCTGGGCTAGTCTTGAACTCCTGGGCTCAAGCAATCTGCCCACCTCAGCCTCCCAAAAAGCTGAGATTACAGGCGTGAGCCACCACGCCTGGTCATACTCATAAGAGATTTTTTTTATAATCTCCTGACCTTTCCAATCCTTCCAGACGTTCTAGATTTGTTGTCTTGATGCTAGTTAACAATTCCACTAAATCTCTAATGACTTACTGAAAAAGCATATGTTAAGGTCAACTTCCTAGAGAATCCTATTGGGAGGCCCAGTATTTAGATTTACCTGAAATCCATTCTTAGATGGTAACAATATCTATCTCACTGGTTGCTGAGAGGATTAAATGACATATCCATGTAAAACAATTATCAGAGTCTTACATAAAGTTAGTGATCAAAATATATTATTATTGGTGGCAATGATGGTGGCATTAACTGTTTAACAGAACCTTATACCAGAAGTCAGGAACCCAGTTAGTCCTGGTTTGGCCATTTATGCAACCAAATCATTTATCTTTCCTAGGCATCTTCTTCAGCTAAAAGGGGAACCAACTGAATTAAACTACTTCTACTGGCCGGGCGTGGTGGCTCACGTGGTCAAGAGATCGAGACCATCCTGGTCAACAAGATGAAACTCCGTCTCTACTAAAAATACAAAAATTAGCTGGGCATGGTGGTGTACGCCTGTAGCCCCACCTACTCGGGAGGCTGAGGCAGGAGAATTGCTTGAACCCAGAAGGCCAAGGTTGCAGTGAGCCGAGATCGTGCCATTGCACTCCAGTCTGGGTAACAACAGCCAAACTCTGGCTTAAAAATAAATAAATAAAGTACTTCTAAACTCACTTCCAGGAAGTAAATTTAAGTCTAATCCCAGACGAAAGACAGCAAGCTTCTTCCCGTAGTAACAAGAACTACTTTTTGAGAGCCCATGTTGTGTCTGATTCATCTCTGTAAAGTGGGCATCTAGCACAGCACACCATCAAAATAGATACTCACATGCTAAATAAAACACATTATGAATAATGTATTATATATAGTAAGGCTTCCAAACACTGTTATCACCCAAACCTTCTACATCTTCTCCTCTCTTCCAAAACAAAGCAAACCCTAGTTTCTTGTAAGCCAAAAATCAAGGCGAAAAAAGAAGTTCTACTGATTAATGCTTTGTTTAAAACGTTTTTTAAAATCATCATTTTCTAAATTTTATCTTTCACTTTTATCACCTCCAACCAGTTTACCCACAGCAATCTGGACCCATTACGTACCTCAGTGAAGCTCCAATGATAATGGCAAATATCTATGAATACACATCATGTGTGGCTAAGTACTGGGCCCATGACTCACCTAGAGTCTCATGTAAATGACCTAGGAATCAAAATCCACCCCAACAGCTCACCATTACTGTCTACTCTGATTCACTTTTTCAATACATCTCTATCCTATGGCCCTGGTCCTTTCTGCCCAGCAGTACTGCAAACAGTAGTGATGCAGTGACTGAGCTCTTGAGTTTCCTACATTAAGTCATGCAGTCCACAAATAATTATGTCCTATATGCCAAATACCGTTATAGGGATTGAGAAGATACAGTAAACAAACCTCACAAGTTTCCAGTGGAAACTTGCCCTTCCAATCTATCCTCTATAAACCAGTGATCCTCAAAATGCGGTTGTAGACCCAACATCAGCATCACCTGGGTACTTGTTAAAAATACTGAATCAGCAACTCAGGGGGTAAAAGCAGCAATTTAGTTTAACAGACTGTTCGATGTATGCTAAAGTGAGAACTGCTTTAAAATGTAAACCAGTGCTTTTCACTGGACTGAAACTGTAGGACTGCAGCCCACTAATGATTCATAAAGAAGTCAATTTAGAATTTTCTTTGTAGCCCTCTCTCCTTTCTCTCCCCTTCTGTCCCCTTCTCTGTCCCTGTTTCCTTCCTCCCTCCCTCTCTCCCCTACCAATGTTTTTTATAAACAAAATAGAACTGAAAGAAAATGTCAGACTGTACTGCACCACTAAGAAAGAACAGTTCTGCAGATTTTCCTTATACACACACACCTGTGCATATTTATTCAAAACGTTAAATACCATTAATTCTTAAGGAGGGTCCTAGTCAAGAAGTTTGAAAAACACTGTTCTACACTGTCATCAAGGTGAATTTTTAAAAAAATTATAAAAATGACATCCTCTGCTTAAAAACTGGAACCACAGCCAAGTAATCATCTATCTATCTATCTATCTATCTATCTATCTATCTATCTATCTATCTAATCTATCTACCTACCTACCTACCTACCTACCTACCTACCTACCTACCTACTTACCTGATATGGTTTGGCTGTGTTCCCCACTGAAATCTCAACTTCAATTCTATCTCCCAGAATTTCCACTTGGTGTAGGAGGGACCCAGGGGGAGTTAACTGAATCATGGGGGCCAGTTTTTCCGGTGATATTCTTGTGATAGTAAGTCTTACGAGATCTGATGGGTTTATCAGGGGTTTTCACTTTTGCTCATTTTCTCTTGCTGCTGATATGTAAGAAGAGCCTTTACCTCCCACCATGATTCTGAGGCCTCCCCAGCCATGTGGAACCCTAAGTCCAATTAAAGCTTTTTTTTGTTCCCAGTTTTGGGTATTATGTCTTTATCAGCAGCGTGAAAACAAACTATTACAGTAAATGGGTATCACTAGAGTAGGGTGTTGCTGAAAAGATAGCTGAAAATGTGGAAGCGACTTTGGAACTGTGTAACAGGCAGAGGTTTGAACGGTCTGGAGGGCTCAGAAGAAGACAGGACAATGTGGGAAAGTTTGGAACTTCCTAGAGACTTTCTGAATGGCTTTGATGGAAATGCTGATAGTGATATGAACAGTAAGGTCCAGGCTAAGGTGGTCTCTGATGAAGATGGGGAACTTGTTATGAACTGGAGCAAAGGTGACCCTTACTATGTTTTAGCAGAGACTGGCAGCATTTTGCCCGTCCTAGAGATTTGTGGAACTCTGAACTTGAGAGACATGATTTAGGGTATCTGGCAGAAGAAACTTCTAAGCAGCAAAACATTCAAAAGGTGAGTTGGGTGCTATTCCGTTTTAAAAAATAGAGCATAAAGTTCAGAAAATTTGCACCCTGATGATGCAGTGGAAAAGAAAAAGCCATTTTTTTAGGAGAAATTCAAGCAGGCTAGAGAAATTTCTGTAAGTAGCAAATGTTAATCCCCAAGACCATGGGGCAAATGTCTCCAGGCCATGTCAGAGACCTTCACGGCAGCCCCTTCCATCACAAGCCCAGAGGCCAGGAGGAAAAAGTGGTTTCTTTGGCCAGGCCAGTGTCCCCATGCCGTGTGCAGCCCAGGGACTTGGTGCCTGGTGTCCCAGCCGCTCCAGCTGAAAGGGGCCAATGTAGAGCTCAGGCTGTGGCTTTAGAAGGCGGAAGCCCCAAGTCTTGGCAGCTTCCATGTGGTGTTGACCCTGCAGGTGAACAAAAGTCAAGAATTGAGGTTTGGGAACCTCCAACTAGATTTCAGAAGATATATGGAAATGCCTGGACATCCAGGCAAAAGTTTGCTGCAGGGTAGGGCCCTCATGGAGAACAGAGAAACGTGGGGTCAAAGCCTCCACCCTGAGTCCCTATGGGGGCAATGCCTAATGGAACTGTGAGAAGAGGGCGACAGTCCTCTAGATTCCAGAATGGCAGACCCACCGACAGCTTGCACTGTGCTCCTGGAAAAGCCGCACTCAATGCCAGCCTGTGAAAGCAGCCAGGAGTGA